CGTGCCGATCGGTCTCATAGGCTCGGAACATGGGAGTGTCTGCAGCCAATATTGGAGGTGTCGGACGTTTTTGGTGACGTTTGACCAAACCAGCCATCACCATGTTTTGAAAAGAGAGGACTCCAACAATGGCGCATCACTAAGTGAAAGTTTTGTAGTGATCTGCTCCATCCGCTTGTAGATGGGGATGTTTCCGGGCCGATTTTTCCACGTTTTGGAATTTTGGTGACCTTTGACCTATCCGAAGGTCACCATGTCCTAAGGAAAAACAAGCTGTCGACCAAGCGGCATGAAATGGTGATCGTTGCATATTGATTAATGCCATAGGCTCGGAGCATAGGATTGTCAACAGGTTTTGGCGGCTGTTTAATCTCTCCCGTTCTTGGAGGCCTACGCACACAAATTGATGCAATGGCCGCAAACAAGAATGAGCATTAAAGACACTGAAGAGAGAGAGAGAGAGAGAGAGAGAGAGAGAGAGAGAGAGGAGAAGAGAGAGAAGAGAGAGAGGAAAGAGAGGAAGAGAGAGAGGATATATATTATATACAGTATATATCTCGCATCTGCTCCGATTACTATTCGCATATATCTACCTATGCTATCCTATATCTTTAATCTCATATATATATCTTTATATATTATATATATATATATATATATATATTCATATCGCTAGCATGCGTATTCCAAAGAAGTTGCGTTCTCATCCATGATGTCAACTTACGACTCAACCCAAATCTAGTTGTAATGTCAGACATGGGATACCAAATCTTTGTCAAGAACACAATTATAACATGCCAAAATGTTGCCACTTTGTCTGATGTGATCAACATAACTAGTGACCATGTACTAAAGTGCAGGATTTCAGACACATATATAGACATACTAGCCAGAACTGTGCTCAACACAAGCTGAATTGTGAATTCGCTCATAAGTTAATCACTTCGGGGTGAGTTAAAGGCTGCATCTGCTCAGTAGGAAAAATGCTGGTTTGGGTCACAGGGGCGGATCCAGAGGGGGGGACACGGGGCCATGCCCCCCCCCCCCCTTGGGCCCCGAAGGGGTACATTGGCTCCGAAGGGGCCCATAGCCGGGCGGAAGGCCGTGTAATAAGGTATGATCATCCGGGGATTTTTCCCGCACTTTTTCCTGGCCATTACAGTGACGTCACAGTCGCAGCCTCCACCCCACCTGCGTTACCTTCGCGTCTGCCACACCGGTATGCCTGCAACCAAATGCATCTGTTGGTCGCCGCAGGGCACTTCAAGAAGTGCGATGAGGAAACATGGAAGAGGGATTTGTTACCACGCTGGGTTTATAACAGCGAACATAGGCCTAGGAACCGGGAGCCGGAACCGGGAGGTTTTTATACACCTCAACATTTTTCGTGGTCCAGCGTGACGTAATCCGAGCGCGTAAGAGGGACGGTCAACGGCCGACGAGCGCTGCGCGGCGTGCACCGTGTCGATATCTACGGCTTATGTTTTGTACGTGACATTTAAACATGTGATCGAACCGGGCCAATTGAGGGATGAGGCACAAATAATCATTCCGAAATATTCCATGCGGATCCACCCAGCGTTCCGACAGACTCTCCGTGATCTATGTAGTGAGCTCCGTTTCTTTGCAATAGTACTACTGGAATTCGGTGATATGTTTACCATTATCGGAAAACAACGGTAATGCATTCAAACAATGGTGAGCAATACTACCTGGGTCTGGAGACCCTGCAGAGTTTCGTTTGTCAGGTTGTCTGGCTGGTCCAGACGCTGGCCTGTGCTAAGGAAAGCTGTGACTGGCTCCAGTTAAACGGCGCGGCCTTTCTTGTTGGCAACTACCATTGGAGATGACGCCATCAGCAGCACTCGTATCCTCCATCGCGCCTCCACCGCGTCAGGTGCCGTGTTGGTGCCGCCAAGAGCACGGATCTGTGAAAAGCAATTCTCCAAGCAATCCTGATTAAGATGTGATGTCAGAATGCATCCCAAGGCGGGAGTTGTTCACTGGACCTCTTCGTACAGGCCGAGGAGCGACGTTATACTCCGCAGTATACCCTTTTGGAAGGGGAGTAGCGCCACGCGGCCGTCAGGATGACTTCGTGTAAACATCCCATGCACCAGCTTCTCCATCTCCGCCAGGGCCCCGTCCTGCGCCACCTTTGCTGCCAGCGTGATGCCGTAGCCGCAGCGCTCCGGCTTCGCGTCGTAAGGCGTGCGGCTGTTGGTGTCGAACCACCGGGCGGTGGTGAGTACTGCCTCGGCCTGCGCCCCACGGCGAGGAAGATAGGTGGCGATGCCGGTCCCCACGGACTGGGAGAACAGCTGCGTTGCCAGTCTCACTCTCTGGGCGCTTTGTCCGGAAGCCTGGCAAGGACAGTAACTCACTGTCACCGTACAGCACCGCGAGCCGTGCAGCGAGCTTCTCGCCCATGGCTGCGATCTCTGTTGCCTCGATATGAAAGAACCAGATGCTGGAGGCCATTTTGTTTATGCAAAGTTCGTACACGCCCTGGCTCAAAGAATGTGACCGGAAACAGCAGGAGTAAGGCTCTCTCGGGTCACGGCTCGCTGCACCGTGACCCAGATGCCGTCGCATGAAGGCATGGCATGTTTCGACAAAGGCATGTTGCCGAAATAATAGCGGATCTATGTTTCCACTTCCCTACTTTTCTCCGAGGAAAAAGCTAGTAGTACTGTATTATCTATGTAAATATGCCCTTCGCACATGCACTGAACAACTTATGTGATTTCCTTTTTCAGTTCCATTGTAAAAAAATATTTGCGATCTCAAAAGATACACACCCTTATACTATCCCGTGGATCATTATTGTGGTACCGCTCTAAGAACATGTCAATAGCTTAGGTACGTAAGAAAGCGTCTCGGGTCATATCTCGTGACCCATAAATCAGGGAAAATAAATATTGTGCCACATGAGTTCTACGCATCAGATAACACCTATCACCAATTTTCAGTGGCATCCGGGACACGATCATTCCGGCCGTTCTGCGTGGGTGACCACGTGACCTGTGGGTGACCACGCCAAACTGTGCTTGTGCTCAAAAGCAAAATTCGACACGCAGTTTCTGATCTCATCTCACCAGACCGATCTGACCACGGCAGAGCACGCAGATAGTTCAGCTATGGCTTCTCACGTCAAGATGGAAGCTTGTCAGCTTCGGACAAATCCTCAGCTCGCCTCCGTCAACAGCCAGCAGCTCGCTGAATGTGGCCCGGCTGAGCAGGAAGTTGCTACCACGTCCGTCTGGGACCAGTAGCCCCCATCTTCCGCGACGGCATGGCACCTCATAAGCTTGACGAGGTGAGGGATGTCAGCGAACACCCACACCTTCCTGGAGGAAAAATACACGATTACATTGACGTTGGGCCTGACGCTATAGGTGCGCGACCATAGTAGGCCTGGCGATTCGAGTACATTCGTACACGTGATTAAATATGGGATCCCTGATATTTCAGCAAAGACCAAAACCGGTAATCCTAAGTAATCCGACAAACCCGAGGCACCGCACAGCACTTCGCTTCTTAGATATCAAATAAACATGCTCATAAACAAAACATGTTCCGCATTACAGATACGACGAAGACAAAATTACTTAACACTAGCCGCGTTTGTATGAGCAATCGAACAATGCGCTGACTGCCTTGGGTGTGTCATAGATGGTGCACAGGATGTGCGGAATACTGAAAATTTAGGTGATGCATTTTACTGTAATTTTAGGTGTCAGCCTTGCGGCTAACATATAATTAAACAGACTGATAGCTACACAGTGTAAAAAAAACAAAATCATGCGTATTGTTCCGGGAAAAATTTTCACCGTCCTGGGTCAGCGGAGTTAGTAATCCACGTCTTGTTAGTCGTCACGCCTGCTTTACGCCATATGAGTTCGTTCGGAGTCCCCATGTCGAACACAGCGGCAACCACGCGGAGGCCGAGCGTCTCCAGCGCGTTGTGACATCCGTCAGTGTTTCTTGGGTCATCGGTTCATCGAAACCGTAATACAACGGTTGTTTCCATGACCCACAGAGGGACCGAACCATGAGCAGCTGCGGTTTCGAAGCTGACAGCAGCTGGTCGGGAGGGAGTCGTAGCAGACTCGTCCGTCCAGCGCCATCTCGTCGAACAACGTGACGCAGAGACGCTCGATGTCACTCATGCCCTGGGCGGCCGCCTTCAGAACCGTAACGGCTGCCTCCAGCACCCCTGGCGTAACGCGGAAGTGACGCGTCCTCCGGGACAGGGTGAGCGAGGATGGGAGCGGCAGGTGCAGGACGGACTTGACGTATTCGTAGGCTTTGCGGCTCCTGCATCGCAGGCCTAATGCACGACACAAGTCATGATTTGTCCACCGCACTCGACGAGAGGTCGTCACACTGCGGAGTTGCTTGCTTGTCAGCACTCCAAGCTTCACCAACCTATCCAGCGTCGACGCCTTCCCCTCAGCGACCCTCAGACGCCTCCTCGTGGAGAGCATTACTCGCCGCCACTTGCGTCTCTTTCGGTCCAGCGTCGCCTGCAGGTGACGAGCCCGGGCTTCCACTGCCCGAAACTTGGTACGCGAGACGACTGCGTCATTGTCAGACAGTGGGTGGCGAGAAGTCG